ACCCGCTTTCTAATTTGGAAAATATATTAAGATACAATTAGGCTCCGTTTAGTTCATTATTCTGATAGCTTTTAGAATAATTTTTTGAAAAAAGTTAAATTGGGTGGGTATTACGATGTAGGATTTGGAAATTAATAAAAATATCTCTTATATTTGTTTATTTACTAAACACTACTATAATAAAATATTAAAAATTAACAAAAATACCTCCAATCCACCTATTAAATATGGACAGCCGGCCACCACCGTCGGAGGGTGGCCGGAGTGTTTTTGCAATTTCTAAAAAAAATATTTGGGGGTGTTTAGTTAAATTAACAAATTTAGGAGGTTTAAAAGAAATTAAAAAATATAGAATAATATTTTGGGAATAATGACATTTTACTGTTTAACTTTTTTAGGAATACTAATAATAGTATTCCCAAAAACGAAACAAATGGAGCCTTAAGGTTTCCGAAATTTTTTTTAGATTACAAATCAAATACGGTGCAAATACTTAGACTTACATACATGTGTTTCAATAAGGAAAATGACAATTTCATCCTTGAAGTTTGGCTTAACTAATGCTTTAGTCTTAAGTCTTATATAATTTTTTAGTAACGTTTTAGTCTCTGCTTTGCCAGCAACGTTTTGTCTCGATCATTGGGAAACTTCTAATGCCAAAATGTTACTAAGAGGGATCAAAACGTTACCAAAACATTATATAAAAACTAAAGTTGTTTAAGTTAAACATCAGGGATGAGAATGTCATTATGTACTTTATTTTTTTCCTCGTAAGTTAAAATATGAGCGTTGGAATTGCCTTTCCTTATTGCATGCATGATCTCTGTAACTATATAGATTGCTTTAGAATTCACTTTCCGATCAGCTGCAAATAGATCATGGAGATTGTGCTTTATCAAATGGATTAATTTCCTCCAGGACTATGTAATTTGATTTGTAACTTTTAAACCCATTTTCTTCATGTGGTGGATGTGTATTGGAGAAATATTAGCAAATTACAGAGAACAAAAGAAAAATGCTAAGAATATACTATAGGATCTTAGTTTCTTCTATATTTTGGTAAATACTGAGAGCTAGTGACTTATGATTTTCCTTTGAAAAGGGTTTACGAGAAACGTACCATATGTGGCTATAAGTATGGTTATATACTCTTTCAGTAGAGATATATATGATAGATGTAATGTATTTTAGTACGTATTCGATTCCTTATGTAAAAGGAGTGTCTATCATGAGATTGTACATATACTAGATGGCATGCGTGCGCATTGCGCGGGTTTATTTATTAAATTATTTTGATTTTATTATTAAATTTTTATATTTTAAGAAATCGTAAACGATTATTGTTTAAAAAAAAAATGTCAAATATTAATTATAATAGAATATTTTGTTATTATTATTTTTTTATTTTTTTATCCGGTTTTTTATGTTTAAAGAATTTTTTCTTTGGAAAGTGTCGGTTCGATTAAAGTAGAGTATCTTCTGGCATAATGAGAGAGTTGTTATCTTTCATTCATAAGAAAAATACATAAAGTTTAGTTATAAATTGAAGACTGTAATAACATCTGTAATGGCAAGAGAAATTGTTTCAACATCAGATGGTCCGCCTGAACTGGAAGGTATTCTACAAAACCTTAAAGCCATGTTGGACAAACTCAACACTGCCAGAGTAATGAACAGAGATATTATGAATGCTTTGTTAAAAATAACAGGCTCAACCATGCATGTAATATTCAATTTACTGAAATGTGAATCCCTGATTATTGCCAAAGAAAAGGAACCTGGTATTCCTCAAGGAAAAAAATAGAACTATGTCTGATGTTGTTGCTTGGGACGATAAAGAAAAGGAACTTGGGAAGTTAAATTTACAAATTTCTAAGGTTTTGTAGAATATCTTTTAGTCCAGACGGATCATCTGATACTACTATTTGAACTGCAAAACACCAAGCAATGAACGTGTAAAAGTAGATATGTAGAAGGCATATAAGAAAAATTAGTTGATGTTATTTATTGTATGTTTCTGTTAGTTTGGATTTTGGATTGACAATAGTTAGTCTTTCGTCTTACATTTGTTCATGATATCTGTGTGAAATAAAATAAAGATTTGAAGGTGTATTCGTTGTTAATATACAATTGATTCAATATTATTACAATCATTGATAAAAAAATATAAGCATGTCTATTATTTCTGTTTTAGGTACTTAGTTTTTTAATTAGAATATTTAATATTTATTATATGATGTTAATTATCGATTTAAAAGTATTTATATTAGTATGTGTTGTTATTATAATCATAAAAAACAATATAATGCGGATTATCTATATCTTTTATTCATATTAATAATGTACATAGATCATGTCAGATTATTCCATAAGGGATATCAAGCGCTATTTCTTTTGCAATTATCAGAGATCGGCGTTGATTCAGATCCGAGATTATATCCATGATTGAGTCTGTTATTTCTAATAAGCCATTCATCATTTCTTTGTTCTTCTCTCTAGCAGTAGACAATTTCTCCATGTTGGCTTTTACGTTTTGCAGGATATCTTTCAATTCGACAGACTTATCTAACATTGTTGTTTCAATTGTAGAAATGAAAAACAAACTTATAAGTGTAGATGTATAGGAGAAATATTAGAGAAATTGTTGGGGAAATATAAGAGATATTTTTCAATGTTATTTACCGCTTGCTCTTGCTTTTTTGGCTTCTAGATTGATAATTATTGGTTTCTTGTCTGCCATTCGTTAACAATATGCAAATGAATTGAGAATAAAGATTTGAGGATGTTTGAGTTGTTGAACTGGTTATGTTTACATGCATATAAATAATAGTGAATGGCATTTTACGAAGAAAGAATATAAACAGATATAATGCAAACAGGCAACTGTTCATTAAATAATATTATCTGTTAAGTTATGTTTAAAGCAACTATTGATTCTTTGTACACTGTATCTGGAATCGTGTTTTGTTGGTTTTTCGGTTTCTGGGTTGACAATGGTTCGTCTTCTGTCTGATATTTGTTAATGATATGTCAGTGATATGATATAATTAAAGTAACTATTTGTATTTTGTTCAATGTAATTGGAATATTTAATATTTCAACTTTTGGATTATTAGTAATATAGTTTCACCAAGTTAGCAATATATTTTATCAATCGGATTATATTTATGTTTATCTATACAGGAAAATATGTAATATATGTGTTGAATATATGCGAATCATCATGACTCAATCAAATTAAGATGGGCATGTGAAAGATATTAACAATCAATATTGTTTGTCCAATTGTTATTTTTTCCATTTTAGTTATTCAATTCATTTGCAATTTTATTAACTAATAACTGTAGATTTAATATGAATGTGGTATGATTATAAATAATTTTAAATCTATTTAGACTATTTTATTATTATTGCATATAATTTTTTTTTTTTTTGATACAATTACAATAGAAATACAATATGTGTATTCTTATGTATAGCGTATGTTGCGAAATCGTTTCACTAAACAGATAACTCGATTCTACAAATAACATGACAATTGTAAATAATAGTAACAATCATTCAAATCAATACCAAACAAGAAGATTATAGAAGCCAAGATAAATACAAATAGTTTTGAGAGAGTAATTGAATGGAATGATTCAGTTTGTCTAGAGGCTTTTAAAATGGCCAACCTTTGATATAGGTTAAAGATGTATTAGGAAAAATACAGATGAACATGTAATTGTACAGAAACAGTATAAAATGTAAACAAAACATTGTTCGGCAATTGTTCGTAATAATATAACACACATTGTTTGGCAATGTGTGATTCTATACAATAACATATGTGCTGGGAAAAACATATACAATAACATATGTGCTGGGAAAAACATGTATAAAAAATATTTTCACTCATATCATTGAATTAATCTAGAGTGAATATATATGTCTCATTTTTATTACATATTGTATTTAAGACATACTATTTCATAATCTATAGAGCATCTCTTGCAACTGATATCACTTGGCCTTGTTATTCTATCCCAGTGTATAACGTATTCATCTTCTTTATTGCAAGTTCCTAACATCCTTCGCTTGAGGAGAATGTTTGTTGTTGGAGTCATGGATTTGAAAGTCTCTTGGCAATTCCTCATCCTTTGAAAAGAATCCGGTTGTTGTACCAATTTGAGAAGACTTTGTATACCATTGTCATCATATATTTTTAGCAAAGCAACTGCAAAAATATATAGTGCTTGCATATTTTGTCTTTTACAGGCTGCACCTAGCATAGGTATACTTGTGTAAATATCATGTTTGATAAATACTAAATGTGTTCCAAGTAGTAATAATGCATGTTCATTTTTTATGTTTGCCAAGATTTGTAAAATTGAAAGTCCTTCTGCTGTAATTACCGGTAGCTTGTGTCTTTGTTTGAAGATGTTTCTTTTACGCAGCACTTGTTTTGAGTTAGATTGTATATATAGAAATTTACATTTGCAATTGGATAGATAAGATCGATATGAATTGTGTATAGCAATATATAATAATTGATATTGTAGATGTTAGTAATATTTACATCAAGTGGATTGATTGTAGATTTTTATTGCTAGTTTTAGTTGCTCTGACAATGATTTGCCGTAGTATTTCTTGTGGTAGTTGTAAGAAACTTGTTTTCTGTACCGCTAAAGAAGAAGTAGTATGCTTTAGCATTATATAGATATATAGACTATGGTTTACTTCTCGATTTTATTCTAATTTATGCAGTTATCACATATTATAACATAATTTGTAAAAATTGATTAATTTATGACAGGCTTGAGTCCCATCTCACACTAACAAATCAATCCTCTAGTTCTTTCTTAATAATAATCTTCAAGTGATCAAGTCCTAAGAAAAGATTTTAAAAATAAACTCCATTTAAAAATAAAATAAAATAAATAATTAAATACATGAAGACTTATGATAGAAAGAAAATACCATCACAACTTGAAGATGGTTTTTTTCATTGTCAACTGCGGTCAGCACTTTTGAGGAGGGAACTGAGGAATCAACTTCAATAATTGTTTATCCTTTGAAACTAGATCTGTGACCATGGACAATGTGTAATCATTTGGCATCACATTTCTGTCCTTCATTTTGTGAAGAAGTTCAACCGCTTTAGCTTCCTCATTGTTTTCTAAGAAACCTTGCATCAGAATATTGAATGTAACAACGTTTGGAGCAAAACCTTTTTTTACCATATCCGATAACAAATCATACGCCTCTTGTAGTTTCTCTTCTCGAACAAACTCATGGATCAAGATGGAATATGTCACAACATTTGGCATTATGCCTCTTTGAGGCGACTTCTGGAATATCTCCCAAGCAATTTCGATCATTCCCTTTTTACACAGTCCATCAATGAGGCAGTTGATGACTCCAATATCAATCTTAAAATCATAATACTCCAAAGTACGAAACCAAGTTGCTGCCTCCAGAACACGGTCATTCTTCGATAGACCATCAATCAAAACACTAAATGTAAATGAATCAGGAGCGACATTATAAAGTTTCATCTCATCAAATAGTTTCTGTGCAGTTAGAACCTTATTTAATCGAAAATATCTACTTAACAAGGCGTTATATGTAAATGCTGTTGGTCTAATTTCCATTAAAATCATTTTCTTGTACAGAAACATAGCTTCCTCTTCCTCGTCTTCATCCTTGCTAATGGTGTCGATCATAATATTATAACTGTCAACGTTAGGCTTACAACCCATACTCTCCATATGGTCCAGCAGATAGATTGGCTCATCAAATTTATGACGATCNATATCCACCGTACATATATTATCTTTGACTCCTACAAGAACACCAGCGAGGGGTCCCACATCTTCATTTCTCTGAACCTTTTCATCAATGGCTTGTGCTTCTTTCAAGACATTGTTGGAGAGGTGAAGAAAGGAGTTAAGCTGAGGCTCAGTGAGTTTAAGACGAGTTAAGTAGGATTCGGCCAGCTGAGTGGCGGTGACATGGCGAGAGAGGAGGGAATGACGAATGGAGAGGATTTGGGATTGGGGTGGTGACGTTGAGGACGGATGGGGTTGTTCGATGATGGGGTGTGAGGAAGAGAGAATGGGTTTTGTGTGGAAAGAGCGAGGTTTACTTTTGGAAGGTAAGAAACGAGAGAGAGAGCGTGGAGGGTGATGGAGTGTTGATAGCATTTTGGAGTGAGAAATGAGCGAAGCCTCAATGGGGCTTGTCTTTTATTTCAAAATTTGATTGTACCAAAGGGATTTTTAAAAGAATATTACAAACTCTCAGGGATTTTTAAATCATATAAAAATCATACTTTGCAAAAATGGTAGAATAATTAAGCGATGTTTTTGGGTTATAGTAATTACTCTGTTTTTAATTAACAAAATAATTAGATGAATGAAATTTGATTAATTAATTCAAGAAAATAAATTTTATATAAAAAACTGATAACAAAGCAAACCTTCAATCCTTCTTTTCAATAAGCTCCTCTTCAATCATTAAGCAAAGAAGGTTTGAATATATATCATTATTAAAATAATAAAATAATATCAAGTAATTAATCATACTTCCCAAAAACTAACAGAATTAGTAAAATAAGCATCTAAATTTTAAATTTCTCACCAACACCCTCTTCTTCACCTCTTTCATTTTCTCACAACCATAAATATACAATCCAAAACCTAATAATTTAGGTTCATGACTCTTCTTTGGTGCCACCATTCTGCAAGTTTTCTGTGCTGTTGGTTGGAGCAGAGCGAAGGATTTGCAAACCAAAAGTTCCCGCTGTCAGGTTCTTTTATGTATCTGTCAATCTGGGAATCCTTCGACAAATTGGAGACAGCAGCATCTTGTGGCGTTGAATTTGCAGTTTCATGAGTAGGTGGAGCAGCCACATTGATGCTTGGCAAAAGGAGTTTTATCCATTTTGGAATCGACAAGAAGTTTATTTAACTCCTCAGACAATCATCCATTACTTGTTTATGAGTATATTTCCTTGAATTTGGCAATTTGCATCACTCTTTTGTTAATCCTTAGTCACTTATTTAATCTTTCATGATTATCTCCTCTTGTCTGCCTTTTTCTAAATTCTAAGTTTTTGAGTTATTGTAAAGTCAATATGTTGACGACTCTGTACAGCTGCTGTTAAGTCGACTTATGTGGCCATGAAATATATCTGATACGGCGGACATCCTGAATTTAAAATTTATTTGCCCCATTAATGTTATATTCAAGTGGCGAACTGGCAATCCATGGTTAAGGAATTTGAATCTCAGCTTATACGACTTATTATCTGTGACAGAGAATTTTTGGAGAGTATGGACATCATTTTCACTCACATATCTCGGGGTGTCTCTTTACGGCTATATATTTGACCATAGCACTTATGAAAGATTGCCTATGCAGCTTAGTGGATGCTACCGTATTTAAGAATTTTTCCCGTTACACATCTATGACAACCACTATAGGGCCGTTTGAATCGGAGATAAATAAGATAACGGAGGCAACCTTCGTTTATTTTATCAAATTCATATGTTTGGTTTACAAGTAATAAAATATTAAGGTAATCTTTTATTACAAAAAATGTTTACTGTTGGTAATGTAATGGGTAATCTTATTATTTTGCTAGGGAGTGTTATTAAAACATTACTGAGGTAATCTGATTTTTCTACCCATTTTGTACTTAATTAAAAACCATTTCAGACACAGTTGCCCTCAAATGTCTACCAAATAACAATTAGCCCAGCCTCGCTACATTTGAAAAATTAGCCACAAAAAAGTTTAAAAGTTAACAAAATACCCTCAGCCACCCAAGACCACCGCTAGCCGTGACTCGCCACCGCTGGCCACAAGCATCAGTCACCGTAATGGTGTACGACCAGCGGGATCTGGGAAGTCATGCACCGATAAGGCCTTTTTCGGCCATGGATCACAGATCCATGGCTGGAAACGACCAGATCTGATGTTTCCATGGCCCTTTTTCAGCCATGGATTTGTGATCCATGGCCATTTTTGGCTTTGCCGACCACATACGACAAGTCCTGCGCCATTTCGTCGATTAGGGTGGATGGGGGTGATTTTGCTATAAATTAAAGCTTTATATAGCTGGGGTGTTTTGGCAAAATTTCAAATGTAGGGGGTTAAAAAATGATTCAAAAAATAATAATAAAAAATATTATTATTTAATATTTAAAAAGGAAGGTAATTTAGTAATCTATATAACATACCCAGACATTTATCCTTCCAACCAAACATATTATTCACTAATTTATTCGAACCAACTAAACATATTTTTTAAACATTCTTAGTAATATTCAAGGTGATCTTTCTTTCCGTTAATATAATATACCCCTGTAATAAAACATTATATGATTCAAACGCCCCTTACTTGTAATGGAGTTGATATTCCTCTTTTAGTCATTGCGTTGCAGGATGGTTAAAAAAACTGATCTGCAAGGGAGGGTAATTAGTGCCCAAATTTGTTACGGAAAGGGAAGACGGGTAGCTTGTGCTCCTAAAGAATTGAGGAAGATGAGTCTATTGAAACCACATCCAAACACATGCAATAAAATAAAACAGAAAAGTAAATAGGACACTTGATTTATCCTGGTTCGTTCCGATTAAGAAACTATGTTTAGCATTCAAATAGAGATTTAGTATTAAGTTTTGAAACTCTACAGCAATTAAAATCTTAATGACGGTAGCTTACTCTCTCTATTTTTTCTTCAACCCTTGGTTTCTCACTATTACATCATATAATAAAAAACCTTATCCCATTTGAGCTTACCTAAATCTAACTTGACACAGTCCCAAATATTAGTAAAACAATAACAAGTCTAATTACTAATCGGGGCTTTAAGCCCATGCAAAGTACGAATCATATCCAACAGAGTCGGCCTTGTTTGAATGTAGTAGTGATCTATTTTCATGGGAAATTGTCTTTTGTAGTTCATAGCATGCTCCAGTATCGTTTTTAACAGAAGTAAGAAGATAATCTTCATATCATTTCTTTTGTCACAAATTTGGTTGTATTGAAGTTTATCTAGGCAAACATAAGGCAGTGTTGAATGTAGTACATGGGTTCAATTCACAAGTAGTTCATATAACAAATGTGTAGCACCACTCTGTTGCGGTGATATGTACATTTTCATTTACTGCAGTTTTTTATATTGTGCCCCAATCTTTTGCCTGATAGTTAACTTGTCTATTTAACGCAGTACTGCTCACAAAATCTGTTGTGTCAGTAGCTTTTCCACTACAGGAAGTCAATTAGTGTATCTTCAGCCTGAAAAAAATTTGAAGTTCAAGTGGTTCGGTGGATGAAAAGTTATAATGATGGCCGATGGGCAGAAGGAAGTGTGAAAGTACCTGAGGTTCGGTGAGGATCCAAATAGGAAACAATAGGAGATTTTGAGAATATAAACAGAATATGATTTTATTCAGAATTTTATTGTTGCTGGTGTAATTTAAGCTGCAAAATGTGTAATGCAAATGATCTTATCAGTTTTTTGTTATCGTATATATGAATCTTAATCTGGAGAAAAAAGGCAAATGTATTATTACAAACAATATTTTTTTCATTTGTTAATTGTAGTGATAAGATTTAATTTTGCAAATTTCTCTAACTCTTTCATTACGGATAACCAAACCTATTGTATAAAAAGTATAAATCAAACTATCGAACAACCTTCAAACCCCTTCCATGCATCCCAGTATCCCTCCACTTAACAATTTGCAAAAACTGTAAATAACTTATTCAAGAATTACTTACCTTGACGAAAGAAGCCTTCAAACTTCGGCTGGCCTCAATAGAAACTGAAAATGCTTCGGCCATTGACTTTGGACTTCTTCCCTCTGTGTTCGAATACAAAAGCCCTCCCCGACGTTGGTTTCCCTCTAATGGCAAGCGATCGATAAATATACATCTAGTGCCCATGTGGGAACCTAAACCCAACACCATTTCAGTAACAAACACATCAAAAAGATCTAAGGGTTTATATGTCCTTAAACAGCATAACATACACATAATGACTTGACAAAAATAGTTATGACTTTGTCAACTTTATTGTTTTAGCCTTCAGGGGTCAAAGGGTGGGCGCTAGACATTATATTTTTCCAGTATGCGCAAGACATATGGCCTCCTAAGTGACTCCAGCAACCCCATGAAAACGTCAATTTTGTGCTGATCCTTGCACATTGCCTCCAAAACATCTATCCTCCACACTGGGGTTAAAAAATCCCAAGTCTTCAATAACTGCAAACAAACGCTGACTTCTATCCTCTGTTTCATCAAAAAATGCAGCAATATTTTCTATTCCTCGGGAAGCAACCTCATACGTATCCCTCTACTTCCATATTTGGCCCACCATTTCAGAGATGCCCTCCTCACTTCTTTTCCTCTTCTTGCTATTAGAAGTCCTTCGAGTTCCACCAGCTCTTGAGCCAACTACATCTTCCTTGCCTGGAACATTACTTCCAACATCAACATCCATTGTTTCGTTGTTGGAATCAAGATCTTCAACGACATCAGCTGGGGTCTCCACTCCAGCTCCCCCTGCCCGGTCCTTACCGAATACCATGACTAATGTGCAGTGGCGGACCTATGATTTTTGCCGAGGGGGGGCTTCCGTGGCTCTGCCATTGTTTGTCAACAACTAGTGAAAACTTTAAAAAAATCACCAAACCTTAAGCAAAGAAAATAATACAATATCAATAATCTGAAAGAAAATAATGTAATAACACGATACTTTACCACTTGAATAAATCTATGGAAAGCAAAACCTTGAGCAAATTATGTTGAAAATAACATCCAATTCACGAGGAAATACAAGAAAATTTTTACGTGGAAAAACCTCTTCAATTAAAGTGAGCAAAAGACCACAGGAATCTAACGATCCACTTAAATCTAATACAATTAAAAGAGTTTACAACAATCACAATCCACAAAAAATGTTCTACACAAATTTCTTACTTCTCCTCTTTTTTTTTTTAAAGTTTTTATTTTTTTTATTTTTGCTTTCAAATATTATAATATAAATTTTCATGACTTTGATCAGGCTTAGCCTAAACTAAAGGAAACCAAAACTTAAATTAAGTCTACGTTCCTTGACTTTTAATATGAATTAATAAAAGAGAAATTTTTCTTAGTATAAACATAGATAATAACTCAAACTTCCTTAATAATTTT